AAAAGGTCCTGGGTGCTGTGCTCAGGCCAAATGGAAGTGCTCGGAATTGGAAGTGGTCCCCTCCTATAGCAAATCGTAGAAAACGATGATGTTCCTTGGCTATCGGGATGTGATAATAGGCGTCCCGTAGGTCGATGGATATGAGCCAATCTGCCCTCCGGATAGATGGGGAGATGGATCTTATGGACTCCATCTTGAAGGATCTGATTAGAAGACTCCTGTTGATCCTTCGCAGGTCCAGGATAGGTCTCCACTTGTCCTTGTCTTTCTGGACCAAGAACAGAGGTGAATAATGACCATGGAATCGTTCCTCTTTTGGCACTGGAATGATGACCTTTTGGGACCTGAGGTTCTGAACATAATCTCCCAGAGCCCTGCTTCTGCCCTCGTCTTTGGGCATACCTGTGGGAATGAAGAAGTTGCCTCTGGGTCTCCTGAGGAATTCCAATCTGTAACCTCTTTGAATTATAGCTCTGACCCAGGCATCTTGTATGTCTCGTGCCCAAACCCTCCAGAAGAGGGAGAGTCGAGCACCGACCTCTGACGGATAGTCAGAAGTTCTTGCCTCCCCGAAAGGAAGGGTTTCTACCTCGGGAGGAACGGGAAGCATATGATTGGCCCCCACGCCAATTACTACTCCTGTTAAACTCTCTACCTGGTCGGTAGCTACGGGTATCCCGAAAAAAGTGATCCCTCTGAGGTCGCTTATCTGACCAAGAGGAGCCAGGTTTCCTGGTTCTTTTCTCTTGGGGTAAAAAGACCTTACGCCCTTCAGCTGCTTTTTTAATGGATTCTTCTAGGGTCTTACCGAATAAAAGCTCTCCTTCAAAAGGTATGGAACATAGATTGGACTTGGAAAAGGAATCCGCACCCCAATAACGCAACCATAAAGCTCTCCTAGCTGCTACCGAGAGAGCCATGGTGCGGGAGAAGATCCTGGTGATATCCAGGGCAGCTTGAGTGACAAATTCTGTGGCTATCCGAAGGTCATAGATAGAATCCCTGAGGACTGTCCTCTTGATTCCCCTTTCTAAATCTGAATCAAGGTCTCTTATCCAACTCTTCATTGCTCTGGACACCGCCGTAAGACAAACAGCTGGGTGGCATCCAGTACCTCCCGCTGAATATATCTTGGAAAGATCGGAATCCAATTTCTTATCCATTGGCTCCCGCAGGGAGGCTGAACTATCCAATGGTAGACTAGTTCTCCTAGCAACTCTAGAGATGGTCGCATCCACTTTTGGAGGTGTTGTCCATTTCTTTGAAGTTTTCTCCTCCAAAGGGTAAAGCTTGGATAGTCTGCCCTGAAACGGAACCTTTTTATCAGGTTTTTCCCATTCTGCAGTCACCACCTCCTTAATGGCTTTATGAAGAGGGAAGGAAGGCTTCTGCTTCTTAAGATCCGCAAAATGTTTATCCGAAACTTCAGGTTTAGGCAGATCCTCTGGTAGTTCAAGGGTGCTCCTTACCTTTAAGATGAGCTTATCCACTGTCTTGGCGTCTAGATATTCTGACAAGACCTCTTCTTCGTTCTCACTAGAATAAACCTGATCAAGAACCTGAAATTCTTCAACTGAATCCTGGTATTCTGAGCCAGATAAATCTGAGGATATCAGTCTCTGTCTTGGTCTTTTTACAGACCGCTTACTTGCCTCCATGGCTTCTGAAATGCCCTGAGCCACTTCCTGTCTGATCCAGGTCAGGATATCTGGTGACTGAGTGGGTGTTACGGCTGCTGGAGTGGTCACTTTCTGCAAACAGTCTAAGCACAGTTTTTTGCCTTCCAACGCCTTCCCATCACATCCTGCACAGGGGTCTGACTTCTGTCTCCTCTTTCGTGGGGGAGATGAGATAGACTGTTCTCCATTACTAAAAGTAATATAAGGAACTGTTAGTAAATGGAGAGTTAATACCCCTTTAACCTATAAATATATATATACACACACACAATATAAATGAAATATATATGGAATCCTACTCACCTGGATTCTCCTGAACAGGGTAAAGGATTCCTACTAGCAGAGCTCATAATGGGCTAACTACAATAAAGAATTTAAAAATAATTCAAAGTAATTCTCTTAGAATATACAAGTAAACTGTCACAATAAAGGGATAAAATTTTATCAGAAATACACAAACCTGTGGCAAAGAATAGAAAGATCCCAGAGTCTTAAATTCTCTTCTAGATAATCCAATGCAAGTTGTCTAATAACTGACTCCACAACAACCTCCTTCGAGTTCCAGGTACTTTTAAATAGTTTCTGCTCATTTACTAACCTGTTTCTGGCGTCTTCTGTCAATTACCTGTAATTTTCGGTTTTGCCCACAGTAAAGATGGCCGCCGCGACCTCGCGACCTTTACCCAGACTGCATTCTGGCGCCAAGCGAACCGAGCGTCCCCTCCAAGCTCCCAACCAGGGAGAACCGAGGACGAAAGCCAGGGATCCCAGCTGCAAACAGGATGACTCCCAAAGCTCTCAGGCAGCCCAGGATTATACAGGTAACAATAAAACCCGGGTAAAGGAAGAAGAAATAGGAAGGAGATAGTGGGAATCACTTTACACCTGTATGTACTCAATAGTACACTGTAAAGTATATAGAGAAAGAAGTAAAATACTTAAAGAGATAGAGACAAGGGAAAAAAAAAAATTATAGAGGGAGCTAAAGAGCTCCCTTCCTAAAGGCTGTAAGGACAGGAAAAAGACTGAGGGTCTCTTCTCTGGATCCTCCTTTTATATAAGAATTTGCTTAATCCTGTCCTATTGGCTGTAAGGGGAGGAGCTAACCCATGTGTATATGCTGCCATGATTAGCCAGGAAATAGAGTATATAGTGGATACATATACTGAGGCTGTGTCCTCATAGTAACTCATACCTAGAGCATATACTGGACACACATTGAGACTTCATACCAATTCATACATTAGAGCATATAATGGAAACATACCAATGCTGTACCACCACCAGATCATGTACAGATACTGAGGCCCAGTGGTCTCCTGTGCAGTATATTCTTCCACTGTCTGGAAAGCCTGCTTATTTGTGATAATGCACAGATAACAGCAATCAATGCCACATACCTTGATAGAAACAAGTGTGTGTGTGTGTGGACTTTAGGTTTTTAAAACCTGTCATATACATGTGTGTACCTTAATCAGACACCCAAGAAGGTTCTCTTACCTTGGATATTTCTCTGTCTTCAGGCTGTGGAATTCCAGCAGACTTTAAACAGCCAGGATATCCATTATTAGCACTCTTTTTCACAGTGTCTCATTGCATTATCAGCACTCCTCTGCACAATGCCTCCTTGCATTATCAGCACTATTATGCCCAATGCATACTTGTATTATCAGCACTCTTTTGCACCAAACATCCTTATAAACTTACCTAAATGCTCACCACACAAGTCTCCTAAATGTGACCTAATTTTTAGAAGGAAGCCTAATGTAAGCAGCTGGGAGGGACTGAAAGAACAGAGACCCAGGTGCCTATACTAGTTTTAATCTAAATTACTAATGCACTTACCTGAACCGTTGCAGGCCTGTGTTTTAGCGGCAAAATGGGGATTTGAACAACTGACAGCCTAAACTGTTTAAACTACAGGCTTCAATCTGTACCTCATATGCCATTCATCATCACCATACAAGGTGGAATACATAGACTAGGTATACCCCGGTAGTCACAACTCTGTTGGGCCTCATGTATGCAATGGACCGCTGTCATCCCCTCAGGGAGAGAGATAGGTTAGACTCCTGATTGCTGAAGGAGGTACCCAGGCTGGCAACTCTTACACATGTGCTGTTTGCTGGGTTTTCAGGGATAAGGGCTTAGACTCAACTGGGCCTCATGTATGCGGTGGACCGCTGTCATCACTTCCGAGAGAGATAGGACAGACCCCTGGTGGCTGAAGTAGGAACCCAGGCTGACAACTCTTACCGATATGCTGTTTGCTGGGTCTTCAGGGGTAAGAGGCTGAACCCTGGCCTGGCTTCATGTAGGCAGTATATCACATACATCCCCTGAGGGGGTACCCACGCTGGCCTGTTGCTGGGTCTTCAGGGATAAGAGGCTGAACCCTGGCATGCAGTGGACCATTTTCATCCCTTTCAGGGAGAGGTTGGGTCCGACCCCTGGTCACTAAAGAGGGTACCCAGGCTAGCCACTTCATCTTAGTGAGTTTTGCTGGGTCTTCAGGGCTTAGAGGCTGAACCCTGGCAGGGCCTAAAAAATATTGCCTGGTGGGCATAAAATAAAAAAATCTAGGCCTGCTTAAGCAGACTCCTTCCAAACTGCTGTGAAGGACAGGAAAAAAACTGCCTGATGGGAAGGGGGAGGATCTATTTATACCAGTTTCAAAGTTCTATTTCCTGTCCTTTCTGCTGTGAGAGGAGGAGCTAACCCATGAGTAAATGCTGCCATGAATAATGGTCAGGAAATATATATATGAAGGAGGAGTTAGAAAGAGAGCGATGAGAAAAGAGGAGAGGGTGGGATCCATCTATGGACGTTTAACACTTTATTGGTTTGGAGGACCCTGATTTGCTTCCAGTCAGTCTTTACTATATACAAATTTACTTGGATACTTCTTGTCTATATATATATGGCTACACTCTTTAGTAGCTATATTTTTTGCTACTTTGTAAATGAACCAATTTTACTCATTGAGTATCAAGTTTACTAATTTGTATTTATTTAAACTGGAACTCTTTCCATTTTGGGTGTTCCTCCACCTTATTTTATGTTGTCTGATTTTCTGTAATGATTAATAAAACTTTATTATTTTACACATTTGTTAGCAAATGCTTTAATATTGCTCTAATAGGGGGTTCTGCTTCTGAGGGGATTTGCTCCCTTTTGTTTAAGGGTTGCTTCCCCCTCATTTGTGTATTTTTTCTTATATGTTTGTGCAGTGTGTTTAAATAATGCACACTACACAAACACACTGCATTATATAAACACACTACACAAACACACTGTGTATGTAATGCAGTGTGTGTGTGTGTTTGTATAGTGTGTGTATATAATGCAGTGTGTTTATATAATGCACACTACACAAACACACTGCATTATATACACACACTATACAAACCGTTTACCGGGGTAAAAACCGTTTAGGCGATCGTCCCCTTTCCAGAGATGCAGGCACAGCTACTGTAGAACACCAAACTCCCGAACCGCAAATAAGGGAATGCTTCAAACTCCCGAACTGCATACAAAGTAGCACTCCAAACTCCCGAACTGGAACCTCACCAATAGCTGCTAGCAGACGAACAGGAAAAGCACCCAAGCGGCTTACACTCCTGGCAATCAGTCTCTAACAGCATACAGTAAATCCCCCCCAAAGACGAGACAGAGCTCCGTATTGAGGGTCAAGCAGTGGTCTGTTTAATGAGGGCTACCTGCCCAGTATTTATGCAGGTCTCTCACCTGGTGGACACTCCCCTAGGGGACCAAATGGGAGACTGTGACAAGGGACAGACAAGTAGACAAATAGGACACACAGTCACATTGTATTCCAACAATGCATCCTGGCTTCCTCCCCTCTGCCCTGGAGATAATTGAGAAGTAATTCAATTATCTCCCAGGACAAAGGCAAATCGCCATAATGCACGTGGGGATACTAAAACAAGAATTACTATTAAAATATACTATGTGACACAAGTTACATTAAAACCATACATTTAACATATCCCCAGATAGCTCAGGTCTGAGCGCACATTATTAAGCGAATGGCGCTCAGACCACACGAATACAGTTCAATCGCCATGGAGCCAAAGTCTTTACAAAGTTAGTTCTCACACGAATGAGCTCCATGGGATTCCTATCTGGGGTATAATACAGTCAGGTAAAACTACCGAACACCGGGCCGTTCGTGCACTCCCGCCGAACAAGAAGGGAGGTCGTCGGCTTCAGCGGTGTTCGCACCAAACTGTGTCCGTTTTTAGTTCCATGAGTTAGGCGTCTAACACCGCTGTGCGTTCGCGTGTTTAAAATGGCCGCGACCTCTTGTTCGTGATACGAATGGAGGCCACCCAGTATTCTTCAATTAAGCTGCGGTTAACCGCAGCTTCTGGGAGGCTAATTGTCGGCACACTCCAGCTCCCAGGTGGTCTAGTCATTCGTGCGGTTGTTCGGTAGATTGAATCTACCGAACACCGGGCAGAAAAGCACAAATAAGTATTTTCTGCAGGGGAAACAAAGTCTTTTAACATGAGGCCATAATCCAAAGGCAGTAGCGAGCAACCAGGCTTCTCCAATGCAATGTGGCGAGATTGGTCTCGTCACAAGTATATACAGCATTCACTTTACGCACACTACCCATACACTACACAAACACTCTGCTTTCATTATATACACACTACACACTAGACAAACACACTGCATCCATTACACACACACGTCACAAACACACACTGCTCCCATGTCTAAACACACTGCATCCACTACATGTGGCATGTATATTTTGTGCATTTACCTTTAGAAATTGTTTTTTTGTTTTTTTCAAAATGGTAAATGTACAGAATATCGGCAAATTATATCGGCCTGGAAGTTAACAGATTATCGGTATCGGCTCTAAAAAAATCAATATCTGTTGATCCCTAATAGGAAATACAGACTTTG